GCCGCCGCCGCTGTCGCTGGCGGCCGGCGCCTCCGCGCGCGACGCCGGAGGCGGCCGCGTGCACGTGGCCGTGGCGGCGGCGGCTGGCGCGGCGCTCTGCGTGGCCGCGGGGCGGGCGCGGGGCGCGGCGCGGCGCGGGGCGGGGCGAAAAGGGTCGGCGCCGCCGTCGAAGCCTGCGGGCACCGCACGCGCTCGCTCAGCTCTTGCGCGCCTTCTGACTCGCAGCTGCACGGCGAAAAGCCCCAGAAACATCTTTGTGAAAGTGCAGTCAGTGTTGCGTGAGTTTGCCAGCGCTTTTAGTATTCTCTCCTACAGCTTCTTTCGGAACACTAAAGCCCCTTAATCGCACCACAAATGGCCCATTCACCCAGCGCAGAGGAAAAGAGGTGCAAATTGCCTTCAAAACAGAATTATATATCTCTAAGATAGCATTCATATACAGAATACCTATTCGAGTTTTCTTTCCTTGTAATCTTATCACAACACATCTAGCTCTTTTACACTCGCTGTGCGATTGATTAAAAAAACAAGCATTTTATATCAAAATTTAGTGAAGGATGTCCATAATCCAGGACACGTGAAAAAAAATATTCCTATTGGAATAAAAAAATAACGCGTGGATAGTTTGCAAATTGTTGACACCGAGATTTTTCCACTTCCGCAATATTCCGTAACTCGTAACCATATTTAAGAAACGCTGTGATTTCTGAGAATTTCGAATCAAATTTTAATAGTTTGAGAAACACTGTAAATACATGCTTTAGGATTTTTTAAAATGTAACGTAGTACTGGAATTCGGTTAGTAAATACAATTAATTGGTGGGAGGTCGATAAGTCTTCTATCTCACTCGTTTTTACGGAAATTTTTTTTTTGAATTTTTTAATCCTCAGGGTGCCCCAAAGCAATTTCGGCATTTGCACGAGGTGTACTTCTCACACCAGGACATGATGAACGGACTACTGCGCTCTGGCGAGGCAGCGAGACGTTTTTTACAGCAATCCTCTGCGATTGTAACGTTATGTGGTCTGGCGAATACAAAACACGCGACACGGACGACGGGCGCGCCGCTGCCGCGCGTGTGCGGTCCGCGGCCTGCGGACTGCCAGCAGATATTTGCTAAATATTATGTTCACTTTAAGAAAGTAAGCTCTAGAAAACAAAGAATAGGCATAGAAGTGGGAACGCAACGAGTATAACTAACATACTGCGTGCTACATCGCATACTTTCTCTCATTTATTTACAACTCGTTTCCCGCTATTTTAAACTACTAATAAACATGCGAAAGTGTTTTCAAACAGAAATATATTTATGTCCGCACATGAGACTCGAACTCAGGGTCCTCCCGAGTTAACTTCGCTGCCAGCCATAACGCTACAGAAACGCCGGAGGTTTGAATTCAGAGGGACGTTAAAAATGTAATTTCTTGACTCAATACAATCATCGTCATCATATATGCAACAGCGAATTTTTGCAGTATTTTAAAAATAAAAAGGAAGGTCGCAGAAAATGGACTAGCATTTTTTTCGTTCTGTTGTTAATAAGAGAAAGGTTATGGAAAAAAAATTGGACCGGTTTTTGAAAAAAAAGTGTGTTTTCAAAAAATAAACTTTTCCTAAATTAGCGCAACAAACAACAAAAATCCTATTCACATTTTCGAACAATAGGACATGACTTCTTTCAATATCGTTCTAAAATCAAGAAACACAAATCTTTGTTCTTTCATAATTATGCGCGCCAGGGAAGTCTCTCAAGCAACGGTTTACATGCTGGTGAGGGGTTAGCAACAGGAATGTGTTTGGTAGTAGAGATGCAACTTGAAAACGCAAACTTGCGTGCTCACGCAGAATTATAACTAACAGTGCTGGAACTGTCTTCCCTTCACTTGTCCATTGCATCTGCGTTGCTGGCAACATTAATTGCACAACTTTTACATAGGAAGCTCAGGGGTCGAGATACTTTTGTAAGTTTGTGCGATTTTTTTGACTTTCCTTGCTCATTCGTAGTTGAAGGAATCGCCTAAAATTGCAATTTTGAAATTTCCGAAAATCAGAGATTTCATGGAAGCTTGGAGATCTACGTCAATCTCTTCGAGCGCTCTTATGCTACGGAAGGCCCAAAGTTTAATCAAAATTATTTGGTGCCATTTTGAATAAAATAGTGAACATTGTTGGGTCGTCAGGTTATGCCCATGCTCAAAATCTAGTCCATTTGAAACTCTTAAAGTCTCGAGTTGTTCAGATCGATCAGGAAAATATCAATTTCTGGAGATATCGCACGGAGGTTAAGCGCTAGCATTCCAGTATCGACGCCAGGTCCGGCCGAGACACGTTTGCCGCAATCCATTCTTCTCAGTACCAAGGACGCACAAAACATGGTATTCTGGTTACACACGTGATAGCACCTTTTTACAAATTACAGCTTCAATTCACTTAAATAGAATAAAATAAACCAATGCGCTACCAACCTGTTGCAACGTGCACTGCGCTAGCGTGTGGAAGGTGAGGGGGAAGCGGGCGGGGGGGGGGGCGGTCAGGCTATCTCCAGTCAAATTGTTACAACACACTTTAAATTTCGTGGAAGTCAAATAATTATAATATCGATATACTGCATAAAGAATAAAGCTAGCAGGTTAAGGAAATATGGCTCTGTTAATGCCATCAAGTTGCTGGATTTTGGAATCTCTCTGGAGCAGGTATGCCCAACGCTGTGTCAAAGGGTATTGCCAGCCGATTGTCCGCCCAACAGCTTTATGCGAGAATTAGCTCTGGAATCATTTTAAGGCTAAATGTATCGAAAAATATCCTTGAAGGAAAATTCAATAGATGAGCCATTGTACAGGGCACAGACTAATCGTATAAAGTCTCAGCAATGCGTCCGCATTTTCGCATATGTAAACGCATTTGACACTTTTTAAAATAGAATTAGCTAATGAAGCCCATATTTAAAAAATAGCCAAAACAGCCAAATTTGATTCTGTGTTGAATTCGAGAAAAATAAAAATGTGGGCTTGTAAGCGCGATGGCGAAGTGCTCCTGAACCAACGACGTGTGATCATGCCAATAGACGAATAGGAGCGTGGCTAAAGTGCCCCTCCCCTCCAGGGTTTGCGTCCTCGCGCTGAGGGCGCTCTCCCGGCGGGTGCGGCCAGGCAAGCCAGGCAGTTCGGGGTATGCTTTCTACATCTTTGCAGCATCAAAATATTCCCCACGTAGCAACTAGTGATTGCTGTAACAAAAAAAAATAGTCTGCCGTCACTGTAATAGAAGTATACAGTATTTATAATAGTTCACATATTCTCGTCTTGCTTCAATACGTCAATAAATGTTTTGAAGCTGATTTCAAAAGAACAATTGAACTAAAGTGGTTGTGATATCACCCAATATACCTATCTCATTTACATTTCTTATTTTGAAATGCATTTTTAGACCTAAGATCTCCGATATCATCGTCCACTACCGGAAAGAATGAGCAGATTTTATCACGAGCACTTCAAGGGCCCGTCTCACGACGCACGCGTTTCGCTTATCCCGAGCGGCCGGGCGCGTAGTCAGAGATCGGCTTTGAAAGGAGACCCAGTGCCAGCGGCGCTGCTCTGCTTGAAGCCGCGCGCTCGCGAAGCGCTTCCCGCCGTCGCGACGTGCAATGAGGGGTCCTAACGGGCGCCTTTCCACTGCGCGCCGGTCGCTGCGGTCCACTCGCTGTTCGTCCGTCGCCAGGGGGTCGGCAAAACGTGTAAGAACTGCCGGGAATGAAGTGCGGGTCGGCTGTTCTCTAGCAATTGACGCTTATTTGTGGCGCTCCTCAGCCAAGAACGGCTGTAAGAATCGTTCTTGCATTCTGCCAAGCCCCATCTGCTGCCCAGCTGGTCCAACTCGGACGTGGCTGTACGCCATGCCGACGGGCAGCCGTCAGCTCCGCAGCAAAAAGGCGAACTTTTCCCTTTCAGGTGTTTAGTACTATTGAAGAGCAACAACATTTCTTTTTCGGGTACCACTCAGCAAACTAAATAGCTGACTAATTTCATGTACATTAACTTTTATTTATCTCTGTAATATCTTATCTGGTAATTGCGTACTAACTTGATGTCCAGTTTACCGATTTGTTAAACAACCAATTTTTGAGTACGAATAGCCAACAAAAAAGCGACACAAATTTTTGAGTTTCATTCCAATTTTTAACTTTGCTATGCTAATTTTAACGGACCTTTTGTGGACGAGTTCGGGAATTCCAAATCGACGCCGCACTGGAACATGTGGGTTCGCCAATAAGGCAACTTTGCGAATGCCCTTACAAACTTCTCCAGTAATACTCGATTGGTCGGCTTGCTCGCTGCCCTTTTGCTTTAACATCTTCCCGCCACACAACGCTAATCGTATACTGTCATTCTTCAGCCACCAGTCACCCGAGTTACGGAATTATTTGGAAACTCCACAATAGTTTTCAAGATTAATTCAGTTCTATACTTCTCATGTTGATATGAGGACTCGAGTACAGCCAGTAGTGTGATTTGTGAAAGTAACATAAATTAGTGATGCCATTAGAATTGGCACAAACGTTCTCGAATTAGTTTCGTTTCCTTAATTCTTTTGATATTTTCTGGCTTTACTTTGCGGTTTTATCCACCTCTCCCAGCTGTCACTCCAATTGCACACTAAAGATACTTTTTTCAACATTTTTTTCAACTTTTCCGGTTTTCTAAGCCCCGAACCACAATGACATTAAGAATACTATAGAAATGTAAACCACGTCATCGCATGGACATGCGAGTTTTAATTCTCATAATATACTTCTTGGAGTCTTCTTTCGGGAGGAAATTATGAGTAAGACGGATTTGTGTCAATTTACAATGTTATTGTTTTCCTTACTTCATACATACTTTAATCGTCGCCATCCTAACTTATCAAATGTTTTCGTCTTCACATTTTTACATATTGTAAGTTTTTTATGCGGTGAAACAAAACAGATAACTATTTTTTAACACATTTATTTGTTTCGTCATGATATTCCACTAAAAATACCTTGATTTAATTACAGATGGTTAGACAGACATTAAATGTGTTTTTCACTCTTGGTTTTTCCTACACCACACTAACTTCTCTTGATTATTTATTCACTCGCTCATGTCTACATACCGCACTGTCCGTGCATTGCCACAACAAACTTGCGCAGGCTACAGTTCACGGCGCTGATCTCGTCCATGCACTGCTGTTCGCCGCGAGGCAGATCTTACAGCTCAGCTTTCCACTTCAGACGACTGTATACTTTCTATGCGGCCGCCGGCAGCGGCGGATTTAATACCTGCTGATGCCCTGCTCGACCTATGGCCAATGCGCCAATCATCTTCTGCGCAACTCGCTCGAGACTATAAACCAAACCGTTATTCTCGGGCCTGGGCGCCGGAGATGACGCAATCCGCGCAGCGTATATCAGCAGATGATGCAATATCAGATCACAAATTTAGTATATATACTATTTTACTATTTTGCCTATTTCCAATTTTTTTTCTAACTAATCTTTTTAAATCTTCTCATGACATTTTTAATGAAAAAAAAGTTTTAAAAAAACACTCATTCTCATCGGGTACTGTGTGTGTTCTTACCGCGAGTCTCGCTAGATGCAGCCAGTACAATATCTCACAAGTCTTACTCGTCTACATCAGTTATTGCATTGGCGGGAAGTGCGCGTCAATCGACTGGAGATCAATTTTTACCTTTCAGATGCGAAAAGTATCAGTAGCGCCGCATCTCTTTGAACTGTTTACCACTTAATTTCTGCGAAAACTGTCTTCCCGCCGATCGTCGACGTGTAAACTCGTTCACTGAAAATGCTGCCTTCGCTGCAGTGGATGTTTGCTCGTTGTAGATATCAGCAGCTGTAGGATGGTTTGCTACTGCCTCTGGTCTGGCCTGCATAAAGATTCGTATGAGTAGTAATAGGAAGGTTAAAGTGGAGAGAAAGTTGCTTGTGGTACAAGCATGCATCAATTTGTTCCTATTCCAAATTATTTGTTAAAACGTTTGTAGGCTTTTAAATATTTATTTCGAATTTTTCATTGAATGTAAGATTATCGTATTATGTAAATGTTTCATTATACTTAGTGCAGTTTAATATTACATATTTTGATCATTATTTACGTTTTCATTATTCTTACTCGTTTTCATTAACTATTTAGTACATACTAGCTGGACCCGAAGATTCCGTTCTGCTCCAAAGAACTTTGTAATGTGATTTTTGTTCTTCTGGGCAAAAATTTCGCCTCGAACAGAACCGTACCCTGGCGTGATAGCCGGCTGTTGTGAATAAGAAAGTATATATTAAATAAAAACAGTATATAAGCATTTAAAAGCAGAAATCGGCTCTTATTGTTAATCATGTGAATCATTAATTTATTACAAAGATCAGTTCTTATTTCTTTATTGTAGGTTTGTGTATACAATGTTTTTGTTGATTACCTGACGCATAGACAACCAATCTGATGCGGTTTTTCCAAACGGGAACAGGCAACATTACATGACCATGTGTGAGAACATGCGGTTTTCCAGATTAATACCAACAACACTTAATGATTGCCCCTGGGACTTGTTTATGGTCATAGAAGAGCAACCGAACTGGAACCTGTAGTCGTTTAAAATGTTAATACGGCACATCAGTCGGAATCATTCGGATCGGGGTAAGAGATACGTCTTCTCCTTTATATCTTCCCTTTCAGTATATATGTTTGCTTCTATTGACGTTGTTTAGTAATTTTTGCTTATCGCTAAACGGCTGCCGTTGCAAAGACGTGGTTGGTTGATATTCGCCAACATTATAACTACGATCCAACCTTTAAAATTAAACAATTATGACGGTGGCAATCCTGTAAATCCAGCGATTCAAAAATTCTGGTGGATAGTTCAAATACATCATCTTGGTTAGTAGCCCAAATCAACTGATTTATATATCCTCGATTCGCCGCTATTTGTTCTTGAATTTGTAAATTTAATTTCATATTACATCTATGTTTTTGCAGCCCAATATAGCTCGTTCGCTCAAAACCAATTATTGTTTTGTAATTTTGAGAAAACCATCTGGAAACACCGTCTGAATAAGATCATCTTTTGATCGAGTTAACTGCAAAAAACGTTGAGGAACGTTTAATGCAGCAGTCAACATGCTATAGGATTTGCCATTACCAATGTCGATGAGTTGTTAGAGAATATGTTTCCAGATTGGTCATTTTGCAAACTCGACACGCATGTTCTTGCTTAAATGAAGTACTCTTGACATGTTTCCACAAAAATTGGAGGACTTTTAGACATGCTTGATTTCATCAGCTGGTGTTGATCGTGGAATCACTGGCAATGTTTGACGAAAAAGCTCCTGCTAATAAAACCATTGCACCACCACCAAATTGGTTATTGATTGCCTCCGTAGATCTTTTAAGGTTCTTCAAAAGCTCTTCCAAAGATTTTTTATGTGCATCGTGCATTCATCCCCAAACAATTAATTACATTGCTGCAAGACATTGCCATTGCAGAGTCTTCGAAATGTTGCAGGTCGAAGTTTCATTGCTTTGCATATTTAATGGAATTTTATGCTGAATGTGGCTGCTCTAGCACCTTCAAGCAAAGTTGCTGCCGATTTCACGGACGAAGCGAGCAAGCAAGTGCAATTTTATTTTGTGAGGCGAATCGTTGCTAATATTAATGAATCAAAAAGTTTTTCCTGTACCACCAGGTGCATCTAAGAAGTAAATTCCCTCCGGTTTCATCATTTGTTACTTTTCATAAGAGTATCAAAATACATACTTCTGTTGTTTCATTGCAACCAGTGCAGATTTGTTTGAATTAACTCTTTCAAAGTGTTGAGATATACAAGTTTTTCTCGATTTCAACTCGTTAAAAGCCATCATGCATTGACGATGGGCGCGGCCCAGGCTAATTGAATTAAAATTTGATTTGGGAACAATCCATCAAGCACAGATCATCAGATTGTACAATCATTGCTTCATTTAAATTTCTTACACTGATTTGTATATTTGTGATTTCCCATTCTCAATTTCGAATCTGTATTACAAAATATTCATCTGCACATACATAATATAATTATATTTTAGTACTTGCATCCATCAATCAATTGGTATATGATGGGAAGCATGTTTAAGATATAGATTATAAATGAAACCAATCGTTACGTATATATTTAGATTGAGTACTAGTTCATTGATGATATGCTACGAGGCAATCTATGATAGCTTGCTTATCCAATGAGCGTCATTTTCTAGGCCCAATTGCCGAACGATGAACAGTGACTTTCTCTAGTTAGATCCACACCACAAAGTTCACCACGTGCATCAATCTCAGTTTCCAGTTAATGTGTAATTGATGTTGGGCTCAGATATAAATCTGACTAATAGCAGCGTTACAATAAAAAACATTCATCCTATTGCTTGGATGTTTATATCTGATAAATTCGGCCGCCAATGACAATCGTGTTGGTAATACACATCTGGATCCGAAAATAACGTGTCATATGTTCCTATACCGTTGTTTCGTCTGTTGATGAATATCTCCCTTGAAGGATTGATTACACAGTAATATGTTTGGTCAATTTCAGAATATAGCAATATATTGTGACAAAGATCATCGTGTTGTGTGGCTGTTCTCAAAAAACTTGGTTAATGTAGTAGGAATAGGGCGTTGAGCAGTCTTGAGCAGTAATCTCTCTCGGAATTTGAACTTTGTATAACGGTAATAAAGTGCAAATTGACTCTTTGACGTTAGGAACATGCCTACAATAATGAGTGCTTGTGCTACTAACAACAATGAGAGCTTTATAGAACAGCTATAAAGCTCAAATTGTCTCTACGTTTTAGTTAAAAGACGTTTGTATGGGAAAAAGAAAAAAAGCTGTTTTTAGGGGTTTCCCGGCAATTATTCGAATATTTCTCGACGTAAAAACCATCCTTGAACTTCAACAAACATTGAAAAAAAAAAAAAAAAAAAAAAGAAATGACCTAATTGGTCCAGGCGTTGTTGGGTCCAGGCGTTGTTGAGTTATGAGCTTACCAACACATTTTGGGATTCATTTTTATATTATAGATTTGACGTTTCATTCTACATATTTTTCGGGTCTCTATTTATATGACATTAAAAGCACGAGAACTCACAAATGCAATAATGTATACAAGTCGCAGGTAATGTGAATATTAAGGGGTGAGAGAAATATCAAAAACAAACAATTGTGTAAGTTTTGAAAAAAACAAAAGAATAGAGCAATACGATGTTTATGTTATCTTACACAGAAAAATTAGTGCCATCACTACCAAAAGTGCAAAAAAATGGAGCGTTTTCAAATTTTTTTGTAATACACATATTTCAAGCCAAATTACACGAAAACTACTAAACTTTTCACAGACATGTGCATGACGTCAATAAAAGAACTAATTAGGGAGAAAAATTTCATTTGAAGGAAAAAATCTCTATCTCCAATATTGTAGTTGTGAGGAGATGGCGAAAAAATATCAAACTTTTGTAATCTTCAAAAAGTCAAAGTTAACAGTAAACATCGGACTTATGTCATCTTGAAAAGCATATTTCAATCTATTCTTACAAGAAATTTGAGAAGAAATTTGGAGCCATTTTTGAGAAAATATAAAAGATGTTCCAGGGGTGTCATTAATGTATCCCTAAATTTTAAACAATATTTTTTCGAACTCGTAAAGCTTTGAGTCATGCCAGATCAACCAGTGAATATTCATTTTCAATAAAAGACTGGGAATACTTGTAGTTTCGGCACTAGTGTTGTTCACAGATGAGCAGACAGACAGATGGACGGACATTTTGAAAAGAAAGAAAAAACAACAATTTTTCGGAGTGAGGGGGCCCCAAATCTTGCATTTGGTAGAAATCTCGAAATCGATATTCCGCAACATTACGTAACTGTTTCTATATTACATATATTACTTCGTATATACAGACGTATAGGAGAATGTAAAACTAATTTTGTGATGCGGAAAATAGCGTAAGCATTATCTGACAAATCCCAGTCTGGCGACAGGAGAGGAGCCTGTATGGGGGAGGGGGCATTGTATTTTGCCAAATTTCACTTTACGACGCACCTTTTTTGCCGATTTGGACGATTGATACGGCGTTGGATTCAGGAAGCACTTGGTCATCGCACTATAAGCCCACATTTTCAAATTTCTTCCCAGACCTATTCAAAAAATATTTCCAAAACTCGTTTTTCAAAGAGCGTAAATTCTACATTAAATACAAATCATATGTCGTTTACTCATTGAGTATCGGACCATTCGTACAGACGTCATTAATAGAGTACTTTTGTCTTATTTTGGCTGGCGC